AAATGTTAATACATATGTTGATTTTACAATGACAACATTTACGAGAATGAGCATAATTCAATCTCAGAACATTTAAAGGAGTACTCATGTCCACATTCACAGTTTAGACAGATATTAGTCGAAAATACATTAGTACTTCATCAAATTAATATTAAGCAAAAACTTAAAATTCTGGAAGTCCATTATATAAGAGAATTGTGACCCAAAATAAATAATGTCAACTAGGAGTATAGTAACAATGTTCTTAAATTTTTGTAGCAACAAAGTTTTGTATAAAATACTGAATGAAAATATTATAACTAAAAACTAACATCCTTTTCATTTTTAAATATTAAAATAAAAAAAATTAAAAAAGTTCGCCTTTGCATATTCGAATTTGGAACGTTGTAAATAAACTGTGAAAAAAAAATTGGATTTTTTCTAAGAACGTAAGTATTTATCAAAAGTTAGAATTCCAAAAGTATATGCGAACTGTATGGAGTACGAATTTTTGTTTCTAATCTCTGTGAGTTGTGCTATTTGAGACAATGCAAAAACAGAGGACAAGGACAACTAAGTAGGAAACTAGGTATTAGAGTAAATGCATTATTCATATTCAAATTACATCGATTTTGGGGGAGTAGATGGAAGGAGGGGCTGAAACCTCGTATCCCGGCCGTGAATTGCTTCCCCGAAATGATATTGGGCCTAATTTGAAGTAAGGGGTCAGACCCGGAACTTTTCAGGACATCCTCGTATTATGCATAGATCAGTGTTCTTGGAAGAATTTTATTCAAGGGTCCAGCGATTCGAAGACAAAACGTCGCATATAATCAAGTCTCTGGCCTAAATGACAGTATTGCATATAACCTATGTACATCCTCCTGTATACTTTAGATGTCTACCTTACTAATACACAGTAAAAGCGGTATAAATAATTATTATATCATAGGTATGAATAAAAGATTTGAGCAGGAAATTGCCACGTAAAGGAAAAACAAATCGAATTTGTATGAAATTGAATTTTATTATCAAAATCTTTTTGGCATTAATAAGAAGAAATATTGTAGGAAATTCTGATATAAAAATGCGTACATTCAATAGAACTGAAGACATTCGCGAAAAGAAAGTGATAGTGGGAAAATAAAGGTCATAATTAGCATTAGAAAATACCAGTTTCAGATCAACCAATATATATATATATATATATATATATATATATATATATATATATATATATATATTTTATCTCCATCTCATATTTCGGATGTAATAATAATAATAATAATAATCTTACAAAACCACAACAATCGGTCTTCAAAGAAATCTGGAAACGATAGAAGTTTGGATGAGGATCTGATTCAAAGAACATGAAAGAAATAATAAAAGAAGTTAACAAGTTTAAAAGGGAATTTCAAGTGGTTAAAGAAGGGTAAATAACCCATAATACACCTACTGTAATGGCAAAGAAATTAAGAAGAAAGCAAAAACAAATACAATGTACCAAATACAAAAAACGATGGAAAGATAAACCTCTTCATTGTCAATACTGTGCCTCATACCAGACAAGTTGATGTAGACAAAGCCCGTATTCATCAGTAATTACATAGTGCAGAGTTAATAGCTGAAACCAAAGGTTTTATTCCTATCGCAGAATTCAATTGACCATCCTGTATCAGGCTGTGCAGTGTTAGCACCTCTTGCATATAAACCTTAGCATGATAGAGTGAGACAATATCTGCACTGGAAAATATGCAACTTTTACGGGAAAGAAAATAGTAAGAAACTGATATGAACATCACCCAGACCCGATAACAGAGATTAGGGCCTGTAACAACTTTATGGGACTTCACAATACACACAGAAAGAACAATCAAAGACCACAAGAACAGGATGTGCTTTCTTATTGACATGGCATTCCCTGCAGATTGTAATGTATATTTGATGATCTTCAAAAGCTTTCAAAATACAAGGATCTTGAAGTGTAAATTTAAAAAATGTGGCACATGAATTCTAGTTGTAGTTGGAGTCTTAGGATTGATTGGAAAAGGTTCGGATAGATTCATTGAAGGGAAGCCTGATAGCCCATCTCTTAAAGAAATACAAAACATTGTACTCACCATTACAGCTCACATATTACGAAGTTTACCTATGTAAAATATATGTGATTTTAGGAGTTTTTTTTTTGTTTTTTTTTTAGAGAAATGATCAGTGGAATATGTCATGAAGCCATTTCTGACTTTAGGTCTTTGGTTGGGACCCGGAAGGAAATGTGTATACAACAGAAATCCAAGGAAATAATAATAATAATAATAATAATAATAATGCTTGATTTCTATTTCAACCGCTAGACATCACAAAAATTCCACCAGAACGAAAAATACGACTTCCTTACAAGCTTGAAGCAAGCAAAACACAGCTCATGTTCTTCAAGAATAGCGTCCAGAATTCACAAGTAAACCTACGCGGACCATACAAGAAAATACCACTCAAACACGACGGAAGTCACCTCCATTCTCAAATCTAAACAGCACTGTTTCTCCTCGGGCCCAACAGATAAAGATGTGAAATAATTCCAAGGCGACCCACTGACTTTTTCACTTTTCTAGAATGTTAACATGAACAAGACTAAGAAATCTGCAAGTACGATTTAATAATATACAGAGATAGCTGCACCCCACCAAATCGACAATAATACCAGATATCTTCAAAAGTTCTCGCAAACATGCATTCGATACTATTGAAAACTAGAATAGTACCAATCATAGTAGGTGTACTTAGAATAAGGAACACAACTACACATTGAAAAATCGCTGGAAATCACAGCTTAAGAGAAATACAAAAAATGGCTTGATAAGTACAGCCCACACACTAGGAAGAACTTTGTCCAAGTAACGCTAGTGATGTTATGGGAGTTAGAAAAACAAATCCTAAAATGTAGTCATAACAATACACCACTACCTGCCTTAGGTCTTCCGATAGACTTGGTAGGTAGTGTGACCATAGCAGGGATCGAAATGTAATAATAATAATTAATAAATAAATAAATAGAGAGTGTGCCCAACATAAGTTGCAAATTAACAAGATGTAAAATGGACAACGCTTAACGATGGTTACTAGAAAAAGCTGAGTATCTATAAAATGCGAAAGGAGAATGTTAGTAGATTTGTCAGACTAAGTGACGATATGAAAAACAGTCATCTCTCTCGCTATCCATGGCTGACTGGTTTTCGGACCTCACATAAATACCAAAATCCAAGGATATTTAAGTAACCTATGCATATTCTCTTGTATATTTTAAATTATTTTCAGATTACTTATAATGAATAATGTAATTTAAAAACTCAAAGTAGATGATATCATTAAAACCTTTGGGCCATTAAAACGCAAGTTCTGATATAAAACTTATTTATCAAAATTCGCATATAAAACACTATTTACTTTGTAAATGAAAATAATCCTTACAACTTACATTAGAAAATGCTTATAGGAAAATAAGTGGATTCTAAAAATCTACCTAAAATTTTATCAACAAATTATCAAATGCTTTAAAAGATACACATTATATTTTCAAGTGATGTAACGAGGAAACATGAGACGAAGGAAACAATGTAGAAGCACAGAATACTGAAGAGATTTTGATGCTTAAGATACGTTAAGCGTGAAATATGTGCAACAATTGTTTTTACCTTTTGAAAAATTTCTGTTTTTTTTTCTTCTTCTCTTAAGTATATTTTCGATTTGGATGCGTGCCATGTGGATACGAAGTGCCGACTATAGACGGGAGACTAATAAAATGTTTTTGCTCCGACACAGTCTCAAAAATTTAACCAAACGAACAATCAACAGGACCTGTAGTGAGGGTGTTCTCTTCTTGACCGGGCTATATATATATATATATATATATATATATATATATATCACAATCCTCACACTTGCTCCATATGTGGCCTCTTTTGTAAATCACTCGCGGGTCTTAAATGCCACAAGATTATCGCACAAAATTTCATAACTGAATCAATTAAGCTGTCAGATCGTCATACGTCGAAACCGACGGGAGAGTCCATTATATAAACACACACACACACACACACACAAACGCAAATATATATATGTGCTTATACGAAAAATTTCTCTCTCTCAATATATATAGCCCGGTCAAAAAGAGAACATACTCACTATAGATCCTGATTTTTGTTCGTTTAGATAAATTTTTCAGACTATGTCGGGCTGAGAACATTTTATTAGTTTCCGTCTATAGTCGACACTTCGTATCCAAATGGCACGCATCCATATATATATATATATATATATATATATATATATATATATATATATATATATATGGTTTCGATGGGTAAATGTCATACTTTAATTTCGCGTATGCGTGTTGTTTTTGATGTTGTTGACTGCACTGTATAGTAAGATCATATGTCTGGCAATAGGAATCAGCACCATGACACACAAACAGGAGGAGCCACTCATGGCTTTCAGACAATTTCTGCGACCACATCACACCTTATATCTAGCCACCTAACTCCACAAGCTTCAACCCCCTTGATGTGTTGGGCGTAGTTGAGCGAGAGACCAACAAAACTTCTTTTAACACCAAAGGGGAACTCAAAGCAAGGATTATGGCAACATTCACCGACAAACAAGGAGACCGCCCAGAAGAGATGCAGGAGATTTCGAAGTCGCCTGGACGCCGTGGTTGAAGCCAATGGCGACTTTATTGAATAAATTTATTCTTTAGTATTTTCAACAACAGGGCAGACGACGTTCTATCCTTCACTGTCTAGGAGAAAGAAAACTCTGAGAACGTTTATTTTTTTTTAAGATTTCGTGTCACAGTGAGCATCATTTTTGGTTCTATCATGTAAAAATAAACAGTAAAAACAACTCCAAATACTAAAAGAATTAAGCATGGAAAAGAAACAATCCAACATCACTAAAATGTTATCAAATTTAGGGACAAGCATACAAAATATATTTAATAAATAATAATAAAAAATAAACGATGCTTACGGCCACATCATGTCGAAACACCGGATTCCGTACGATCACCGAAGCTAAGCAACGTCGATCCTGGTCACTACGTAGATAGGTGACCGTTTGAGAATACCAGGGCCTGTATGCTTGGATGTGCGCATGGTGTCAGGGATAATGGCTCAGAATTGTTAATCGAAGAGTCGAATTACAACTAACGTTGGGTTCGTTATATTCAGCAGCAAGAATATATTAACCTTGGGAATGACATGGAGCAACCTTTTCTCCACGCCCCAGCTATGGGTTAATTAGTAAGAATTGCATAACTAAACCGTGATTATCTAAAAAAAAATCTTCTCTGGCTTTAAAATAACCTGTTGAGAAAGCGTAGAAAACGAATCAATCAATCAATCGTAAAAAATATTTCAAAATGAGTTGACACGTGAAGACGCGATATTTTAAAAGCCGACTTAATGCTTGAAGAGGCGAAACATAAAACAAAGACTTATGAATGCAAAAATACACAGATATTGAAAAATTTAAACTTTCAACAGAAACCAAGAAAATGATACGAAATATAGATAAAAATCCTTAACAAACAACTTCCGTTAATTTTCAACCGAATACCCAAAAAATACCCAAACGCACACGTGTGTATAATGTTTGGCTACGAATCCAATGGAATGATAAATATAGAATATAGGTGTCTAAGTGATCACTCTTCTATTTACTTCGGTCGGAAGTGTGCTTGTCAAACTCTCTGCCTCCGGGCAGAGAGGAACCCAGACGAGGCTGTGCCCTTTGGCACAGCCTCGTCTGGGGTGGTAGACAGCTACCCGACCCCGTTTTTACGGGGTCTACGAGGATTTTTGCCCGAGCCTACAGGCTCGGTTAAACAAGTATAAACTTGGCCTTGTGCTGCATCCGACCGCATGGGAAGTTAGTGAATATCTCACTCTCCGAATTACTTCGGAGGTGTGCTGGTCGAACTCTCTGCATCCGAGTAGAGAGGAACCCAGAGAAGGATAGTAGTCAGCTACCCGACCCAGTTTTTACGGAGTCTACGACGAATTATATACCCCACAAATAAACTTGGCCTTGTGTCGCATCCGACCACGTGGGGCGGTTAGTGAATATCTCTCTATACGGATTACTATTCGGATCACTATTCAGAGGTTACTTTTCGAACGAGTATTATCAAGCAAGTACTATTAGTGCGAATGTTATTCGAAGGCATCTGACACCAGTATTGTTCAATGGCGTTATTATAATTCTATCTGCAATTACAAAATCTCTACTATAATGAACATTACGAAAGTGACAAGGAGTATTCGTTGGCATTACAAAAATGGCGACGAGGATTCCTTGAATTTACACGAGGATTCGTTCAATTTACACGAGAAAAAAATTAATCTGCAAAATATTCCGCAGAGTACAGCGGAATGGAATAATTAAAAGCTATCAGAGTTCAAATGTTGCACAACAAAAATTATATGAACAACAATTGCAGCAGCAAAAACAACATGAACAGCAATTATAATTACAATTACAGCAGCAGCAGAAGTTTTTTGAGTTGTTTACCAAAACGATGAAAGGAAAAACTTCAGATTCATTCACTCCAAATGCTGTTGTTAATTTAATCAACGAATTTTTATACAATCCAGATGAAGGGATAACTTTTCCAGCTTATTAAAGAAGATATGAAGGGATCTTCAAAAAAGGGATTGTTCGTATTGGAATGATATAAGAAAGTTCAGTTATTATTCAGTAAATTGTCCCCTGCTGAACATGAAAAATATGTAAATTATATTTTGCCAAAAAAACCAGGAGAGATAAATTTTGATAAGACTGTTCTGATACTATCAAAAAATTTTGGCGATAGGAGTTCATTGTTTAATACATGATGGCAATGTCTTAACTTAGTGAAGTCTGACGATGAAGATTTTGTCACCTATGTAGGGGCCGTGAATCGAGAATGTGAAAAGTTCAAGTTAAATGAATTAACTTCTGATTTATTTAAATGCCTGATATTCGTACAGAGTTTAACTTCTAATGAGGACGCGGAGATAAAATCCAGGATATTTGCTAAATTAGAAATGGATCCCAGCTCTCCAGAAAATAGCGGAAGAGTGTCAATGAATTGTGAATTTCAAACTCAATACCGCAAGGATTAAGGAAAAAGACAATTCACAAGTACATAGTGTACGACCATCTAAGAGCAAAAACTACAAAAGATTTTCAACTCCTAACAGAACAGTAAAAAAGAATATACCCCATCCCCAATAACTAATACTTGCTCCGCTTGTGGAGGTAAGAGTTTTAAAAGTGATTGTTTCTTCAAGAACAAAAAATGCTATGAATGTGGGAGATTAGGACACAAAAGTATGTATTACAGATACAAAAAATGGAGAAAAAATAAAACGTATGTGAACATAATAAATACTTGGAGTAACGATAAGAAACCTGAAAGGGAAATTAACAAGACATCTCAAAAGAAGAAATTTGTTTTTGTGCAAATTAATAATGTAAAAATAATATTGCAACTAGATACAGGATCTGATATCATTATCATAAATGAACAGACATAGAGAAAAATGGGTAAACCCAGTTTATTGATTTCTGATGGAGTCTCAGAGATTGAGCTTTTTGGGTTAATTCAGCTGTAACGTTTCTTTTGTGGGAAAAAAACAAAAAAGAGGTAGTGTTTGTATTAAAGAATACTGCTAATTTGCTTGGCGCAGCATTGTTTGATATTTGGGGCCTTCCAGTTCACTCTTTTTGCAACAAAATAAATACTGTTACCCACTGTACTAACACAACAACTGAAAAATTAACTGAAAAAAAGTTTTTTCAATTAAAGGGACACAACTCTCTAACTTTTCAATAGCTCATGTTGCAGACATTTTGGATTACTAAGTTGTCATTACCGCGATAGTTTACGGTGATTTTTACGTGAGTTTTTCTGACGAAGTTTTTTGTACGATAACAATTTTTATAGCTTGCAAATAAATTTGGGAATAATCGAAATTAATTGTGAAATCCAGAGAAAGTCGCTCATAAATAAAAATAATTGTTTGTACGGAAAGTATGGATCTAGAGCATATCACATTGTATTTAAATTAAGTGGCGGCTGAAGAATTAACTTTGAACTTTTAAAAGGTAAATGCAGCGATCAATTTTGAGTTCTTCTGTAGTGTAGTTTAGTTTTATCGCAACAAGAAATCTTTATCAACAGAGGACCATATTGCAATCAAAAGAGCTAAGGCTGCAGCGAAGAAAAGAAAGTCTCGTGCAATTGAAAACTCCGACCAAACGGCAATCAGGAGAGCTTCTACTGACATTCCCCAACGCTTGCTTAGCGTTTCCGGAGACCATACAATGGACGTGAGCAGAATTAAGCGATGGGTAATGCGTTTTAGAAGCAATTACAACTAACGCAGACCTGTATGATTGAATAGTACTGCGTGAGTGTGTCTGTGTGTTTTTGTGTAAACTCCCCAACACCTCACACACCGATAATTTTGCAGACAAAATTTATTCTGTTGTGAAGCCTGTTCTCATCGAATGATCCATTACTGTGCCTCTCTGCTCGACTATACTTGATGCATGTATGCAGCCGTGTAGGGGTTGCTCAATAATTCCCCCTATACAGACATATATACAGTTAAAGATTGAATAAATGTTCTTAACCGCATATAACTGCAATAAAATTTTTTCAAATGATATCAACGAACACTCGTTGCCACTTTTGTAATGTCAACATATACTCGTTGCTACTTTCGTAATGCTCGTTGTAGTAAAGATTTTGTAATCGCCGATACAACTATACTAACGCTGTTGAACAATACTGTCAGATACCTTCGAATAACACTCGCACTAATAGTCCTTGCTCGATAATACTCGTTCGAAAAGTAGCCACTGAATAGTGATCCGAATATTAATGTGTATAGTGATCATTTAGACGCCACACTAATTTCCATATATACATTTCTTTTATGATCATGTGATCTGTTGTTTCAAAATGGGATCGCCTGTGTTTGCTCTTTGGAGATTTGTGTGATCTGTGTTCCAACACCGGTGTCGGCAACGACACTTTATTCCTATATAACCCCTCCCCTTTGAGATGACTTCCTCTGGAGTCTATACTTCTTCAACTTCGGTTCAATAGTTAGAAATTCTGTTGGCATTCTTTTTCTTTTGTATCTCTCTCTCTCTCTCTCTCTCTCTCTCTCTGTACATAAGTATATCATTACATAATGAAAATGCATTATTTCCAATAATATTTTTTCCTTTAAATCTTAATTGCTTCTTGATTTTCATTATAAAGTTATCTTTTTCCGCCTTAATTCTTATTTCCTCCAATGTTATGGGCAGTTCTCTTACGGTATTGTATAATACATTATTAATTTCATTTTCAGCCCTTATCGCAGGAAATTACTGGGTCTTCAAGTGGTTCACAGAATCTTGGTATTAGTCTAGACAATCCGTCTACATGACTTAATTTTTGGGATGGTAGAAATTCCATTTTATAATTAAATTCAATAGGATAGTTCCCTTGCAGTCTATTGTGTGGGGACAGCCTTTTTTTATCCATATATAGACAATAATGGAGACGATGGTCTGTTTGTAGTATGAATTCTCTACTATGTATGAATTTGTGAAACTTTTTCATAACAAATATGATATTGGCATTTATTATATAGAAGAAGGAGATGAGCTATTGAAAGTTGTATTCCTTTGTTTGAAAAAGCGTGATACAGTGACACACTGACAATTCTGGAACGTTGCAAGAAAGTTCCGAGAAAAATTTAATTGCTGTTAAAACGCATTACTCAGCGCCTAACTCGGCTCGTGTCTATTGTTTGGTTTCCTTAAAAACTCATCAAATGTTGAGAAACGTCAATGGTTAAAAAGTTTTCCGCATGGAGGAATTCAATTTATACCTCTGCTTTGTACACAATTTCATGTCAGATACCATTTTTTCGGACTGTGGCTCAGTTTACAGTCAGCTGCTATCAGTACCGAGGCAAATAATATTATGGTTTGTAGGTGGGATGGTTCAATCTCTACTACCATGACACCAGCATCCGCCTCTGACGGCAAGGATCAACATGATAAACAGGAGGCATTACTTTCAGAGCATCCTGTAATTTATATATATATATATATGACGTCAGTATTCTGTAAGATTAAAGCTGTAGTTTTGCCCCCAGGGAGTCAATACAAAACGGATACATGTGGTAACTGTTTTTCTGGCCCATATTTCCTCATTTTCATTTTATTTTTACTCTCTCTCTCTCTCTCCCTCTCACTCACACAGACACACACACAGAAACACACACATGCAGGCGCGAACACACACAGACTGAAAATAGGGAAAGAAGAGAATGAAGTGTAGTGTCTCTTTCCTTCCCTCTCCTCCTTTCTTACTCAAAGGCTAACAATCTTGTTCTTTTTTCCATTTTCAATATCCTTTACGCTTCATTCTTTGTTTCGGTTTATATCGAATTTCTCGAGAAGTTTTTGATAAATTCAGTCATTTCTTAGTTATTCTTCATCATTCCGTTGTCGATTCTTTGCTCTTCTTTCTTTCTTTTTTTGTTTTTCTTTCTTTCTCATTATTATTACCGCATCGAGCATTTTTTTTTAATTATTCGTCGTTTTTTAGTTGCTTTTTTAAAGATTTCTATTTTATATAACTTTTTCCTTTCTTTCTTTCCTTTTTCAGAGCTCTTCTTTCTTTCTTTCTTTCTTTCTTTCTTCTATATTCATCCTTTCTTTATCACTTTTATCTCCGTATCTTAATTCGTTTTCAAACTTTCTTTACTATATAAATTCATTTTTCCTTTTTTCAGTTGTTACGATGATTTCTTTTTTTTATATATATATCTTTATTTAATTTCTTCCTTTCATTCATTCTTTTTTATTTATTTCTTCACCAACTTCTTTGTCTGTATCTTTACTCTAACATCTTTCTTTCTTTTTTCTTTCCTTTTTTCTTTCTTTCTTTGCTCTATATTCTTTCATTTTTATGACCGTGTCTTTACATTTTTTAATTGGTTGGCCAATTTTCTATTCCTATGCTCCTTCATTGACTTCTTTCTTTCTTTCTTTCTTTCTTTCTTTCTTTCTTTCTTTCGTGAAAACAACACTGCAAGACCGGGAAATGAATACGCAAACATATGTACTTGCTCTGAGTTTTGCAGTCGTGGTTCCGTTCAGGGGTTGGGCTGTACAGATACCAAACTGTTGAATCTGCAGTTAATAGAGATGAAAATGATATGGCTGATAATGATGACAACGTGGAGAATAGGCTGCTGCTGTATCTGATGATGATGAAGCTAAGCTTTATGCAAAGAAGATGAAAGAGTATGATAAAAGAACGTGCAATTTCTCGAGTACTCTTCAACAAATGCACCAGCTCTCTCAAACACCTGCAGTCGTTACGCGCACACGTTTTTTTAACAATTGAAATATGAAACTTGAAATTCTGACACTTTTTCTTCTGAAAACTATTCTGCAGATGGTGCTAGAATTTACAGGATGGGATGTTCTTCCATCGAAGAATTACTTTAAGAGCTGCATTAAGATCCTCGTTAAGCAGTTGTTAAGGATGCAAATCTGAACGAATCAAAAATGCTTTCACGAAATCATTTGCAAATTATTATGCATTGTTATCTATCAGATATGCAGGTGTAGATAAATCGTACGTACGTACACACACACACACACACACACACACACACACACACACACACACACACACACATATATATATATATCTGAGGTATTCTTGTTTTGGACTGTTACGTAATTTGGTCTCATTATGAGTTGTGAGTTTGATTCTAACTGGATTTCCTCAAACTTCTGATGTCAAAAGTATATATATATATATATATATATATATATATATATATATATATATTATAAATTAATTGATTTAAAATATGTTTTTTTTCGCTACACAGTTCCAACCATGTTTCAAAAATAGAAGCTAAAAACCCGAATTTAATTTTTGCAATTAAATTAAAAGCATTAGTTCCATTTCATCTTCAAGCGAATTTTGGAGTAACTTTTAAAAATTACCGGGTTTAAAGACACAGCTAAATTTGTAAAATAAAAATGTCTATAAGAACACCGGATTTTATATCTTACTGTTTTTTCTTTATATATATATATATATATATATATATATATATATATATATATATATATATAAAGACAAAAAGACAAAAAAACGTATTTCGTCCTTTGGGGACTTTATCAAAGGCAAATCCATTTGGTTTGATAAAGTCCCTCACGGGACGAAATGCGTCAACTAAGATAATTTTTCCTTTTGTCTTTATACATATTGTCATTTTACAGATATACTCTATCTGAATTTTTTACACTGTCCCTCTCTCTCATACACACTTTCTCACTCACTCACTCACTCACTCACACATACACACACACGCACACACTTTCTCTCTCCCTCTCTCTCTCTCTCTCACACACACACACACACACACACACACACACATATATATATATATATTATTCGTATTGCTATACGTTACATTAGTGGACACACGTGTGTGACTAGACTTCTCTGTTTTTTAAACAGTATAATTTTCATCTACCGGCCTGGGTTTTAGTCTTTAGTAAAAAGTGTGTCTCCTTCAGCAAGGTTCTATTCTTAGGTAAGGGAAAATACCTTATTGTTTGGCGTGCTTTTAGACCGTTCAGCCACGAATAACATTCACGGTGGAGAAAGGTGCAATTACTCCTATGAAGGAAAGCATATGTTTCATTATCTTTCAAAGCTCATATTTGCTAACCTTATTCTCATATTTTAAGCGTAAACGAAGTAATTTCTAATGAATTAATGCATACTGGATTTTTAAAAAATATTATTATTATTACAATGGCATTTTAATGTTCCTTAAACATGAATGCATATTAAACTTTTTAATCTGCTGTTTTATATTAGGTGTATATCAAAGCTTTCAAAAATTTATATTAAAAAAATTCTTACAGGCAGTATAACTCTTGTCGGTGCGAAAAGTAGAATCCGCGAGCCAAGTTCAAATTTGCGCCTAGTCTATTGCAATCACTTTCGCACAAATACCTGTATGTAAGTCATATACCCCGTTCTCCAGCCATAGAGTAAATAGCAGGATAGACTGGGATCTTTAAGCTTGGCTGGCATCCAGTCTAGAAGGAAGAAAACTCGGAATTTCATATGATGGAGAAGGCAACAGGAAATGATTATAAAGTAAAACGGAGAAAGTTTTGAGAAAATTAAATAGTGCGAGTTTAACCGTGAAAAATATTAGTACCTCGGATATCAAATATCCAAAGACGGTATATCGCCGGATGATAAACTCTTTAATAAGATATCAGAGATAGCTGCACCCAGATATAAAAAAAGAGTTCGAAACATTTTTAGGATTAACCAATTTCTATAACAGATATCTACTTGTAGAACCATTTAACGAAACAAGGAAGAATATCGCCGAGTTTCAATGGACAAAAAAACAGGAGATGGTTTTTGAGAAATTCAAAAAGGCACTCATAAACAAACTAGTTGTTAAAATCTTCGACCCAGGGAAAGAATTGACATTAACTACTGATGCCAGTGACTGTGCTGCAATATTGTTGCAGGAGGATCAAAATGTAATGTACTTATCTATAAACCTAACATCGGCGGAGGCGACTTATTGGAATATCAAGAAGGAAGCATTGGCTATTGTGTAGAGCACGGAAGGAGCAAAATGTTTTGTTAGGAAGGAAATTTCTATTACAATCGGATCATAAACTTTTGGAATTCATATTCAAGCCCAGAAGACTGTTGTCCCATCTGACAGGATATTAAGATGGACGATTATGCTTATGACGTTCGACATTGACATCATATATATTAAAGGAAATACTATTCCGCATGTAGATGCATTATCTCGGTTAAATTTTGAGAGTAAAAATGTTGAAGCAAGTAATCATTGTGAGGATAGGATTTTTCACTGGATAGAAACGGGCATATTACCCTTAATTCGGCTTAGGTTTGGAAGTAGTCATGATTCAATATTGAATAGAATTGTAGATAGGATAAAGTAATTGCTCGATGGCTAAGAGGCCTTATAAAGAGTTAAGAGACAAATTAATAAAAGAAAAAGGAATCATATGTAATGGAGATATCATATGTAATGGAGATATCATAGTACTTCTACAGAAGTAATTAAAGCTGTACACGATGATATACATGAAGGTATATTGACTACGCAAATGAGGTTATAGTTGTCAGGCTATTGGAGAGACGCGGAAGAATATGTTAAAAAATGTCCAAAGTGTGCTGAAATAAAGAAATTTAGGCAAAGTAAAATTCACTCTTGGCCAAAGGGAATGGTACCATGGACACGAGTACATATGGATCATGACTACGTTAAAAGTATAGGACTGTTTCTGATATTAGTCGACTCGTATTCAGGTTGGCCTAAAGTTATTAAATTTTCAGATAGAAAAGCCATTACTGTGATTACTGTGAAGCGGGTGTTGAGGATAGTGTTTTCAAGAAAAGGACGTCCAAAAATTTTGGCCTCTGACAATGCACCTGAGGTTTGTGAAGGTTAAAACGTATTGGCTGCATTCCTTATAAAGCACTATCTTACCAGCCGCAGTCAAATGGAATTGCAGAGAGAATGGTTCAAATTGTATAAATGGCATTAAAAGCATTCTCTCCGGTGGATTGTGATATAGTTAGTTATTTACTCGTCTATTCCTAGGCTATAGAGCTATTCCGCATACAAGCAGAAGACAAAGCCCATCCGTATTGATGGGAAGACGAATAAAAACTCCGATTATCATATCATTTGCAACGAATGAAAGTGTATGTTACAGAAAGTACAAGGATTCAAGTCCTGAAAAGGTAAATTTTATGGTGCAAAAGGGATTTAACACAGCTGTGTTAACAAATAATGGACAGGGCGTGCTGCCTCACGAAGAACAATTTAGAATCACAAGAGAGCATGAAGTTATGGAAAAGGAGGAGGAAGAGACAGCAGGAAAACGGACAATGCAAGAAAGGATGAATGAATCCAGTATTGAGAGTGATCAGGAAGACCGCCAGAGATATGAAAAGGAAGAACAGGAGAGCGGGGGGGATGAGTGTATCCAATAGTAATGAGGAACAATCTGGGGAAGAGAGTGACCGGAGTTATCACGATGATTCAAATGAGGGGAATCAGTTAAGACCTAGATCTCCTATGAAATTAAATAATGAGACTCACTCCGAGTGACTAATTATTTCTACCAGGGTTGTTCATAGAAGTCAAAGATCAACTAAAGGTATAAAGCCTTTTAGGTTCAGGTAGGTGTAGTGATATGTAAATTAGGTTTTGTATAAAAGGCAGTATCGCTATACCTACGAGAGATTTATCTTCTTTTGACAAGACTACATCTGTCAGAGAGAATACCTATCATAAAAAAAACTTAGTTGGCGTTTAAAGTCATCATTACAGAAATCTCAAAAACATTTACTGCGAGACTTTTCGCATGAATCAGTTCATTTCGATTGTTATAAACCCTGAGAGTTTAACGTTATTTACGAAGATATTAAAAACAGACAGACACCGAGACAGCCAACCACGCCTTTTCCCATCATCCATTTAGTCTAACTTCCGCTCGTTTAAAACGCATAGCTTCTCAAATCCCAAAGTGCAACACATTTCCTGATTAGCGTTAATCAGCGTAAATAAAATAATATACCACAAATTCTTTTCCTAAATGTTTTTATCTTTTCACGACATAACCATACAATTTTTTCTTTTCGTCTCGCAAACTTTTGAAGTAATGCTAGTTGCTGCCAAAAAAATGTCCCAAAGTGTACTTAAGATATAGCCTACTTCTAGCTTCGTTTGCATTTAATCATTTTAACTCTCTACGTATTGATGGTAATTCCGGAAATAGGTAAACAGGAAGTGATGTTTCGTACATTAGGTCAATAGGGCGACATTTATCCTTTTTTTATTTATTTACAAACACTCACGTGCTTACACACAGACGCGCTCGAGATGATTGTTCGACAATAGGTGTAGTAGCTTTTTGTAACTCCTACCCAAATACTCTTGCTGACAAGAGTACTTTGGTGTGAGGTTTTACCAGGGATAAAAAAGCCCAAGATGTGAGCTATGAATTGGAGATACCAACACCAAATTAGTACGTAAGTTTTGATATCTGGGAAGTGTTTTAATAAACGACAGAATATTTGGCACCAAAATCCGGAGGTGCAACAGAGATTGATGAGTGACTTGACATAGTGCTTAAATGTTTTATTTTTAAGTGATTAAGATGAGAAATAATCTAGTCAATAAATAATGAGCAATATTTACCTCATATTTGATTTTAGTGATATGATTTGCGAACTCTGTTTTTATATATCATATGAAGAAAGAAAGACGTTTTTCTAATAAAGTTGGTTGAAAGCCTTTCTCCTCCCAAATTAATGCCAACAAACAGGGCAGAAGTTACAATTATTACCAATATCATTGAATTTTACACTTACGAAAGTAAACCTTAAATATTAAAAACCTTTCTTTCCAGCCACACTTTCTGAGGTAATACAATACCGCGAACTGATAAAATAGCTGCTACTTTGATTTTATATCCGTGTGGAAATTCGAGGCTCATCACTTGAATCTACAGTCGAATAGAACTCAAAGCAAAAGAAAATAAATTTACTCAACATTTTGTCATTCTCTTGTTTTTCTTATTATTGTTATTTATTTTGTGGGTTTGATTTTGGCGCGATAAGTGATGTGTAGAGCCAATAAGAAAACAGGCGACATCTTTCTAGGTTCGCTATTGGTGGCCGACAGGCAACTAATAAAAATGAATGAGAAAGGTCGGCTAAGAGGCTTATCTGTAAAAAAAGCAAAACCGTTTTTTATTTTATTATTTCATTCGTTTCTCAATTACTTTCTTCATGTTTTCTTTGAGTCATTCACTTTTTCAATATTTTGCTTTAATTATTTTATTCATTTATTTTTACCTCACGTAAGTATGGCTGTCTTTCTCTTTTCCCTTTACATAAATCATTCATTTTCTTTTCCTTTCTATAAATATTACTTTCTCCTTTCCCTTATGAAAATCTTCTTTTCCTTTTTATTTGTATAAATCTTTCTTTTTCTTTTCCTTTGTACAAATCTTTCTTTTTCTTTTTCTTTGTATACATCTTTCTTTTTTCCCTTTGTATAAATCTTTCTTTTTCTTATCCTTTGTATAAATCTTTCTTTTTCTTTTCCTTTATATAAATCTTTCATTCTCGTTTCACTTATGAAAATCTTTATTTTCTTTTCCCTTTTTTAAATCATTCTTTTTCTTTTCATTTTTTATAAATCTTACTTTTTTATCCCTTTGTATTAATCTTTCTTTTTCTTTCCCTTTGCAACAGTTTTTCTTTTTCTTTATATAAATCTTTCTTATTCTTTTCTTTTGTATAAATCTTTCTTTTTCTTTCCCTTTGTATAAATCTTTCCTTTTCTTTTCCTTCGCATATTTTTTTCCTTTTTCCCTTTGTATAAATTTATCTTTTTCCTTCCTTTTGTATAAATCTTTCTTTTTCTTTCCTTTTGTGTAAATCTTTCCTTTTCTTTTTATTTGTATAATTTTTTCGTTTTCTATTCCTGTGTATGAATCTTTCTTTTTCTTTTCCTTTGTATAAATCTTTCTTTCTCCTTTCCCTTATGAAAATCTTTCTTTTTCTTTTCTTTTGTATACATCTTTTTTTCTTTTCCTTCTTTTCGTTGTATATATCTTTCTTTCTCTTTCTTTTCCATACATAAGTTTTTCTTTTTGGTTCCCTTTATGTAAATCCTTCTTTCTTTCTCATTTATTTTTTTCTTTTTCTTTGAATACATTTTTCTTTCTTTCTATTTTATTAATCCATAATTTCCTTTTCCGTTGTACAGATCCACCATTTTTCTTTTTTACCTTACGTAAACCTTTCTTTTCCTTTACATCATATCAAATCTTTCTCTTTTGCTTTACGTAAATCTTTCTTTCTTTTTTCTCTTTTGCAAATCTTTTTCTTTCCCTTTTCATTTTTGTATTTCTCCCTTACTTTTTTCTTTTATGTGGATTGCTTTTATTATATTAATCTTTCTCTTTAATATCTTTATTCCTTCTTTTATTTTCTTCCACTAATTTTCTTTCTTTCTTTCTTTCTTTTGTTTTTAAATATTACCTCGACATATATCAACATTAGCAGAACACGTCTGTATAACGCGAGTGTTTCTTTTTAAAAGTGGCAAATATGTCTTTTAAATGAACCATTACTATAATATACAATTTTATAAATATACACAAATAAGTTATTCTATAATAGAGATAATTCTGCCTTACAATCTCTTCACAATGGCCTTGAGATCCCGTCTTTCATTTGGCATACGATATCTATACTCTCGATATCCCAGGTCGACAACAGTTGCTATAGCAACTACTGTGAGAATACTAAAAAGTATTTAGCAAAATACGAGTGATGCTCAAAAAGTAAGGCACAGAAAGGCATAAATCTATCGAAATGAAGATATTTTGGAAGTTGTAAACACAAAGTAATAGTAATGTGCGATAAGCCTTGTAATAGCGAGAGCAGCCATAATATTGTGTATATGACGTCGCAAAAAATGATTGCCACCATAAAAACGTGGAAGGCGTAATAAGATAAGCAAAATACACCATAAACTTGCCGTTTATAGTGAACATGTATTAAGTAGGAAACTAGTATCCGTCTATTATAGCGTGTCCATAGAGTTCTGATGAGCGGCCATGATCTCAATGAGGCTCTCTGGGGAACCTGAAATGGAACACGTGTATTCGTACCATCACGGCGTCAAATCATCCTCACTTGTATTTTTTTGGTAAATAGTAAGCTCTACCCAATCAGTTTCTTCCCAGTGTTTTTTTTTTCAGAATTGTTACTTTGAGGAACAGACTCCCGAGAGGATGCTTTCTCAGCCACACCGATGTTAACATTTTCAACTCAAGGGACAACCGATATCTATCCTACATATCCTCATAATATGCACATATTTCTCCTTCCCTTTCCCTCACTCGGTAATCTTCTAACTTGAGTTGCCCTTGGCAACATATTGGGTGAATTAAAGTGTAATAACGTTTTAGCAGCCTTTTTATCTGAAATGATGCTCACGAATGCCTTGAGCAGTTCTTTCTGCTTCAAATTTGGTTACGAATTAAAGTAAGCCTTACTGTCTATTTAATGTAAATGATGTGTTTGAATAATTTTATTATAGTCAATTTGTTATTAATTATTTTACTTTGAAATATTGATAATCAGGAAGAAAGCCTTAATAAAAGAAAAGAGTTGTTTATGTATAATCTAAACACGATGCTACATATTTTATTGCGAAAAATCCATATAACGGTTTTATTATAGTTATTTCATTATAAATCACAATCAATTATATTGAAAAACATTAAAAAAGATCTTGCTAAGCAAAGGTTAATAGATTATTTCAGGTTTAATGTAAATGTATTGCTAATCATGTTATTGTAAAATATTGTTTAAGCAATATTATTATAGGTTATTTATTATAATTTGATTATAGAAATATATATATAAAGTCAGAAAGAGATTGTTGGAAATTAAAGTCAGCCTGACAGAAAGAAGTATATATATATATATATATATATATATATATATATATATAGTCGACTCTCCTGTTGAATTCGACGTATGAGGGTCAAGCAGATCAGTTCCTAGGAACCGACAGCCCGACACCAGAACATGAGATTTGATTATAGTGGTGAAGGTTTTCTGCAGAACCATCCACACTTTTTGAAGTGCTGAATACAGAGACGTGCCACAAGGTCACCAAGCGGACCTCCGTTTTGAATTCAGAGTTTTCCTTCTAGACCAGTTGCCATCCACAGCCTGTCCTGCTATTTACCCATAGCTGGAGGGAGAAGAAGAGGATTCATACCTTTCCCAAGGGTATTAGCATGTAGGTTAATGTAATGGATTTGACTGGAATTCGAACTCGGTTCTCCGAGCTGCTATCCACTACTCCCCCATGCATCTCTCTCTGTCTCTCTGTCTCTCTGTCTCTCTGTCTCCTTCTCTCTCTCTCTCTCTCTCTCTCTCTCTCTCTCTCTATATATATATATATATATATATATATATATATATATATATATATATATATATATATACGTAGCTGAAAGTAAATCATTTGGATTTCAATTACATCACAATATACATACCGCATACCGATATAATATATTGCAATAGAGTATTTGTTTAAGTATGAGGCTGACCGAATTTCAGTATTTCGACAAATTTTCTCTTTTTTTCGGTGATAGCACCCCGAGGAAAAGGCATGAATTTATTATTTTCCAAAACCCTGTTACACATGTCATCTTGACCTTGCTTTCTCTTTGGTTTTCAACGCAGAAACATGGCGAATCTGTGTGTTCATATGATACTGCATATGCCTACTTCACTCGAATTGCTTATGCTCGTGTGCAAGCGTGCACAGACGGATAAAGTGGAGAAACGACTTTGATGATTTTTTGGGGGGTTATAAATTTCCTCGGTGTGAAATATTTTGTTTTTATCGACCCCTTCGAAGGAAGAAAAACAGTGGCATGCTTAATTTCAGAAGTAGGCGCAATCTTTATCTGAAAACGTTGACACGTCGTTTGAATATTTATTACTTTACTTCCTCTTACTTGCATTTCATTTCATTCGCCTTGCTTATCGAGAGAATCCAATTCACCTGATTAAAGCGATCTTATTTTATGGTTGATTCTGGAGTGAGACCTTAGTTCCCTCAGTAATGAAAACACTTCTACAACTTATGTCATGGAAACGAATGATCCTTCTTGATATGTTTAGTAAAGCGCTTCTTAAATTTTTTTTTCCAATTCTTGACCCCATTTTTTATGACAAGATTTTTGGCAACTCCAGGTATTAACCAACTCCACTGAAAATACATCCGTTGTCACTGCACTAGTCGCAATGGCGCTTCATGCATGTTTTATTACCTCAGGACTAACGTTAAATATTGGGCGTTTGTGAAATAACATAGAAACCGAAATTTAAATGTTTGAATTTAATTTTCGCCACCCCAGCATTTCATAGTTTAAGAAGCGCTGGTTTAGTACAACAATTAACATTGATCATTATAATAGATATAGATTGAATTCAGTTATATAATTGGGTTGAATTTTGCAATTCTGAGCGTTAATCGAGAATCTGATCTAAAATAAAATGTGTTACCGTATTAATTTCTATTTTTGCCATCCATTACTGACAGACACAGAATACTGTAATCGTAATAATAATCCTATTAGCCTTATACAGTAATAATCATGCCAAAATCAAATCCGAAGTGAATATGGCCGCTAACATGATTTTTTGTTACTCTCAGATTTTACTTGTTTAAACAGACAATATTTCATTCACACTCTAGTGGGGATTAGTAAAAATATCTATGTGAAAAAAATTTGCCCGTCTTAATATTAAATGTAAATTTCATTATAATATTTAGTTTTACACTAGAAATGTTCAATCGAATTACCATTTGGTTACCACGCTCTCCATCTCTTTCTCCATTTTCTTCTTCTTCTTCCCTCCATCTCTTTCTCTCTCTCCCTTTTTCTCTTACACACACACACACACACACACACACACACACACACACACACACACACACACACACTCTCTCTCTCTCTCTCTCTCTCTCTCTCTATTCCGATATCCTCTTAGAGTGTCGTTCAACTTCCTGCTTGTCAATTCTGGGATATGTTTTCTTCATATCTTTCCTTCTCTATCCCTCCTCTCTCCTTGCACCCTGTATTACAGGATTCTCTTAACAAGTTCGGCTAATCAAGGCACAAGCACATACCATTTTAGCTTGCATCTCTTCACTACTGTAGGAGCCTTCCTGTTATCAGATCTTCTGTGTTCAGTGTCTCTTCAGAGTGTGAGCGATCATGGCTCCTCACATCTTATCCCTCGTTCTGCCATCCATTCAAATAAGCTCGTCAGGTAGGTGTGGCCTGCTACCTTCTCCTTTATCTCTTCTCGTTATGCCCTGTGAGAGAAGTTTACCCAGCCTTCTTTCCTCATTATGTGTCCGAGAAATTTCAACTGTCTCTTTCGAATTTTAAGTGTTACCATTTTCTTTATGACTTCCTTCGTTGCTTACTGGCCTCGTCTTCTCAGCATCCATCTGTAGAACCATAATTATATTGCCTCAAGTTTCACTGTCATATAGAAGGACTGATATTACACAACAGTTCAGTACTCTTTTCGGTGATACTATAGTGTGATATCTACCGAAACATTTACGACCTACCGTAAATGACGACCAACTCTACCAAACAACCCACTTACGGCCAACAGCAATTAATTCCTCAAACTACATACAGTATTATTTTAACCTAAAGAGTGGGTGATTTATCTAATGTATATTCATAAAGCAGGTATATATGTAATTGCATTACAAAATAAAGAAACTAACGTGAGACAAAATAATTCTAGTCCATTTAGTTTATTACATTAGCAACATTCTGGTCAGAGACTTTTACAAAATAAACTCAATTGAAGATGAAGCGGTATCCTTTTTAAGGGTTAGGCTTAAGGTTAGGGCTTTTAACATATTTCATTCTTCCAACAGTTGGTAAATATTATATTATAGTAGAAAATGAACAGTAGATATACTGTAGTAGAAAATGTATGGTAGATATACGATAGTAACACCCTCTTTTCTTTGTTTGTAACTAAATTTTCCTGTTTGTTAAGAGTTCGTTTTGATCTTGAAAGGAATATTTCGCTATTGCAATGCGCTTTTCGATATTTGTATATATGTTCAACGAACAAAAAATTAGATAAAATAAAATTTGTAGTACATAACAGTTTAGCACTGATTTCTTTGTTTCTGACGTAATTTTCTTGTCTCTTATTACTTTGTTTAGTTTTTGTATGGCATTTTCGTTAATCCGATGCACGTTTTGCATCCACTGTTAAAACACTTCCCAAATATTTAAACTTGTTTACTTGTTTGATGTCGACATCTCCTATTCGTTAATCCGATGCACGTTTTGCATCCACTGTTAAAACACTTCCCAGATATTTCAACTTTTTTACTTGTTTGATGTCGACATCTCCTATTCGTAATTCGTATCTCGGATTATTTCTCTTCTTTACAGTTCTTCTATCACCTGCTTAATATTTTCTTCTCGCTTTCCTTTACTGGGAGGTCCTTTACTTTTCCTTCTGTATCTGCCATCAACACAGTGCCATCTGAGTAGGTCCTGTGCAAGGGTCTCGCGTCACCACCGAATCTATGTCTCCCACTGTTACTTCTTCTTTTCATCTGTGAAGAAATTGTCTAGCATTCACTGTCATATAGGAGAAATTATATTCCACAACAGTTAAGCACTTTTTTCTTGTTTCTTAGTATTTTACTTGTTTTTTTGAAGACATTCTTACTTGTTTTTTACACTATTTCAATGCGCTTTCGAATTTCGATTTCACATTTTCCCTTCTCTGTTAAAACGCTTCTATGCTTCTTTGATGTTGAGCTTTTCGATCTTGGGTTTTTATCAATTCCTACACTTTCTGTTTTCTGGTTAATCCTATTTTCTCGGTTTCTTTTACTGCCTTGTCTCGAAGATTCTGTAGTTTTCTTCCTGTGTCTTCCATTAACTCAGTTGTCATCTGCTTATCTTGTATTGTTAAGATTGTGCTCCCGATCTTGGCAGAGTCTCCATCGCCATAGCTTCGTTGTAGAGGTTGAAAATATTAGGAGAGAAGACGTATCCTTCATTTACGCAGTTTTCTATTTATGTGTACCGATTCAATTATTTTCTATCCATATCCAAGTGGTTGGCTTCTAATATAACTTCTGGATTATTCTAAAATCTTTTTTCCGAATAGATCTAGTTTTCGGCGAGCTCGATTGGTTATATATGTGTCTCACCCCAAATCATGCCCGAATAGACTTTGTATTCAGTGTTTTTCGGAGAAGCTATGAGTAGGATTGACCCGACAGATGGGCCTGCCGAGTGCAGACTGACATGATCGAGCCATCTGCAACTGGAATGCACGCATGAGAAAGAATCCGCATGGTAAATATATAAACACTCACCCCAGAGGAAATAGAAAGTGTCACATACATCACTGATGAGAATGTAAGATCAACTTTTCGGATGAGCGGCCCGTGGTCGCGCAATTGTCAGTATATTGGCTGTTTGGTAATCTTAGCTTAATTTGACACAAAGACACGAATACGGGGCTCATAGTGAGGATCAGTCTCGTTGTTAAGTAGTATAATAAAGTTACTAATAAACATACGTAATTTATTCGCTCATACATAGCATTGCATTTTATTCCACTCCGGACTTCATTTCTTACTGTGCTATGTACGAGAGAATAAATCACGTATGTTTATTAGTAACTTTATTATACTACTTAACAACGAGACTGATCCTCACTGGGTACTCTGTATTCGTGTCTTTGTGTCAAACTAAGCTAAGATTACCAAATAGCCAATATACTGAAAATAATTCGAATAAAGGATTATTTCGGAAAACGCATTTAGTCGGGACATTAACAGAATTCTACCTAACATTATGCTATGCGGCATGCGCTAAATTGTAATATGTTCATTTCTCTTTTAGACGTATAAAGGACATTAACATATTCGGTGTGTTCCATGAATATTGATTTTTACTGAATAATGTTGAGTTACATTGGCTGGGAAGCCAAAAGAGAGGAGATTTGTATTAGTATTGTAGGTAATAAAATTATAAGTTACTTCAGTGTTGATAATTGTGTAAATGGCAAAGAATTATTTTGGAGTTTTTTGAGCAGATGTTTTTATGTGGTACAGGTCGCAACCAAGAAGCATTCAACTAAATAAAAAACACATTCTTCAAAATTGACTGTTGCCGTGCCAAGAAAAAGTTTAAATACAAATTAATAGAATAGCTCCGAGTCTCTCCAGATATTAAACCACTGGAAAATTCTTGATCCATCATTAAAAGAGATGGTTATAAAAACAGAAATATACTTCGGTAGTAAAGTCGAAAGAGTAAAAAAGTTAACAAAATCAAGTAATGTAATATAGATGAAGTTTATACAATGAATAGGGTCCCATATTAACATTTAAAATAATAATAATAATAATATCCACAAACAATTGACCAACTTGTATCAGGTTGCACAATGTTTGCACCAACTGAATATAAAACTCGGCATGATAGAGTAGGTCAATGAGCAACTTTTACGGAATGGAAACTGCAAGAAACTGGTATGAACATCACCCAGACCAAGTTACAGAGATTGGGACTTGTAGCAATTTTATGGGATTTTATAATACACACAGACAGAAAAATGAAAGCTAATCGCCCCGACATCGTGATCAAAAACCACAAAAAACAGAATATGCTTTCTTATTGACATGGCAGTCCCTGCAGATTGTCATGTATCTTTGAAAATCTTTTAAAAAAATACTATCAAAATCAAAAGATCTAGAAGTGGAAATCTAAAACATGTGACACATGAGCACATCAATAATTCCAGTTGTAGTTGGAACCCTAGGATGGATTGGAAAAGGTTCCAATAGACTTATTGAAAGGATTCCTGGTGGCCTATGCCTTAAAGAAATACAAAAAATTGTTCTCGCAAGTACAGCTCATATATTACCAAGAGCTTTATCTATGTAAAATGTGTGTATTTTTTTTTTTTTACAAAAATGATCAGTGGAAAATTTCATGAAACCATTTCTGACGTTAGGCTTCTGGTTGGGACAAAATGCGTATACAACAGAAATCAAAGGAAATAATAAAAATAATAATACCTTGATGTACATATTTTGTTTTGGTGAATCAAGATGGGTTACAGTAAATATCTCGTTCAGTACCAGATATGTACTTGTCAGTTAACCTTAATCTGAAGCTTTGTGTCTCTGTTTATGAGCCAGCGTAATGAGGGAACATTATGACTGTGTATCGAAAAAGGTTGAAAGGTGTGTTAGCCAAGGCGACTTGGAATTCACAACTAAGTATTGGGAACAGTCTCAATCGGAAACCATCTTGAATGTATGCACAACTTGCAAAGTCATGAGTTCATTTTTATCAAAACCTAATACCATTTCAGGTATATTTGGCTTTGAAGCATGTACCCGGTATACCCTTATCAGGGTTTTGTATATTTCTACCCCAGCGTCGCTTTCTTGCCAGGCTACTCTCTTGCTCAACAATAATAATATGTTGATCGGATATGATGTTTCTATGGCCTACTTCCAATTGATTTATTTATAAATGAAAATTTCTGTTACATTTAATTAGCATAATAAAATATGACATCCGTGAAACATGTTGTTATTAATATTTTTTAATAAAGACAGGCATTATAAAGTGATACTCACAATTTTCTCTTGCTCATCTCAATACATCCTGAAATTGTTATTCATATCAGTTTATCTTGCATAATACAATGTGACAATTTGTGTAAAAGTAAATATCTTGTTTGATAACAGAGCACTTCAAGTCACAGTTTTTTAAAAAAACGAAACTTATTAAGTTACTAAATAAGTAAATAAATTATTCCTTTGGGATTTAAGAAACAGGCACAAACATCAGCCTAACATTTTCTCTTTTCGGAAATGATGCGAAGAGGAATAAAGATTTTCGAAGAATTTCATTTTACATCTTATTCATGTGTTGACTTTTTCTTTAAGTATTTTTTCATTTTCTTTTCTCTGTGCCTTTTTTGGCAACTTCCAATTCTTGGATTCTATGCTTATGTTTTTCATTGCTTGATTTATTTTCTTTGTTTACTTCCTTCTTTTTTCATTCTTACTTTATTACTCTTTCTTTCTTTCTTTCTTTCTTTCTTTCTTTCTTTCTTTCTTTCTTTCTTATCATATTTATTTACCCCATTATTCGTCCCTTTTTTTCTTGGATTTATTATTTCTTTCCTAAATTCTTCATTTTTTGTTTCTTCCTTACTTATTTGAGTTGATTATTTCCATTTTATTCTTTCTTTCTTTCTTTCTTTCTTTCTTTCTTTCTTTCTTCAATTCATTTCTTCTTCAACCTTTCCTTTTTTTCCTTCCCTGATTTTAATTCTATCCTTCTTTACTTTATCGTCGCATTCTTTCTTTCTTTACTCCATTCCTTCTATCCTTCATTCATTCCTTCTTTCATTCTTTCTTTCCTTCATTATTCGTTCCTTTCTTTCTGTGATTTATTATTGCCTTCATACTTTCTTTTGCATTTTTTATTTTTTATTTCCTTCCTTTTCCGTCTTTTCTTTTCATTTCTCTTATTACACATCGAAAAGAAAGGAAGGAAAACTGATTATAAAGAATGCAATAAATCTTTTCTTTTTTCGTTTATTTTTCATTAATTTATTTCTTCTTTTACGTATTTTTACATTATTTTCTTTTTCTTCTTTTTCTGATGTTAATTCCTTTTCTTTATTTTTTTTACGTTGCATTCTTTCTTTCATTTATTATCCGTTCCTTTCTCTTTTCCTTCATACTTATGTCTTCATTTCTTATTTTTTATTTCCTTCTTTCATTTTTTTCTTTTTTTTCTTATTTTGTTATTCCATCCTGCTTTACTTTTTCATAGCATTCTTTCTTTCTTTCTTTCTTTCTTTTTTTTTTTTTTTGATTTCATTCCTTCCTTTTTTTTCTTTGTTTCTTTTCTTTGTTTCTTACTTTTTTCTTTTTTTTTCTTTCATATCTTTATAATCATTTTTCCTTCCTTCCCTGATTTTAATTCTGGACTTCTTTACTTTTTCATTTCTTTAATTCCTTTCTTCTTTTACCTTCCTTTCTTTTTCTTCTTTACTTGATTTTAATTGCTTCCTTCTTTACGTTTTCATTGCATTCTTTCTTTCTTTCTTTCTTTCTTTCTTTCTTTCTTTCTTTCTTTCTTTCTTTCTACTAACAAAACATGTACGGGGGCATCGAAAGTCTAGTCACCCCTACATAATATAATTTTCTTTTTCTGATGGCTGACACGAGCTCCTACAGTTTGAAAGAGAGGTGTGTGTGTGGGTGGGGACAAGACTTTCAGGCCATTCTGTACTTATATCATTCACTGCCCATTTTCCCGGTTTTTTTTTTTCAGATCACACGAATAATTCACTTGATTTTTCTTCTCTTTTTGACTCTTCTCTCTTTTTGAATGTCTTATTATTCAGCGAAGTCTTTCACTGCTGCTCATGTGTTATCTTCTCGATACGATCAATGTAAAAAACAAATAAACGCAAAATGGTTTCATCCCTGCGGGATAAAGACGACAATCTTTCATTTCATAGAGATTAGTCCATGTAGGGCTCAAACAGTGAAGATTAGCTGTCACTTGAGGAAGAAGAGGAATTCTTGGCGGGAGATTTGTTAGTAGACGAAAAACTCAGTTAAAGATCACTTATACTAAAATATATTCTTTTTAAGAGGATGCCACTGTATAGATATTCGGTTCTTATAGACTTGGGTAAAAAAGCATATATAATTAGGTTCTCTGTTTTCAAGCTGTAACAATTCAGTTTTAAAGCAAAAATATACAACTTTAAAAATTTAATTATTATATATTTTTATAAACGTCAAAATTTATACAGTATTTTAATAAATAGTCCAACCCCTTGAGATTAAATATCTCATCAGCTGCTCCTGAACAATCATTACTTTCACTGCCTACATCTTCATCAATTAATAATTTTGAAGCACTATCTAATTCACTGCCAAAGTAAGACAACCAAAAAAAATTTCTCAAAATGTTCATTCGCATGATGCTGGATTTAATACTGAATGGGTTAAAATTTTCAATGTTGTTTCCTGTTTGATAAACCTTAAAAATCCTCTGTAGTGTGTTTCGTACTTGAGGAGCAAAACGCATTACATAGGATCTTTTCTTATTTTGTCATTCAATTATCCACCATTGTCCTGATAAAAAAAGAATTTATATAACATATTTTACCATAAAATTTGATACAGACTTGACACTGAACTGTCATCCTTGAAAAATCCATTGTAACAGTTCTGTTCTCTCTCTCTCTCTCTCTTGTCGGGCGCACGCACGCACGCACGCGCACACACGCACACCCGCCACCACCACCACATTATATAATGTGAACTACTTAGCTATAAATTTTTTTGTTCTTTTTTTTATAAATGAACTTTTCCTACAAGTTTTAGGATATGATCCGAGTTTTTCAAGACGAATTAGAATTAAAGAATAATGAAAAAATAAAGAATAAAGGGATAAAGAATAAAGGAATAAAGAAAAAAAATGTATAAAGGAATAAAAGAATAAAAGAATAAAGGAATGAAAATAAAGGAATAAAAAAGGATAAAGATTAAATAATAAAAAGTAAGGAATAAAGGAATAAAGGAATAAAGGAATAATGAATAAAGAGATAAAGGAATAAAAAAGGGAATAAAAAATAATGAATAAAAGAACAAAGAATAAAAGTATACTTTTTTTATATTTTAGATCTTATTCATTTCATCTTATCTTTTTCTTCACTTATTTCTTCTTCGTCTTTTTTCATAACTTTCTTTCTTTCTTTGATTCTTTGTTTATTCTTTTTTTCATTGCCTGATTTATTTATTTCCTTTCTTCCTTAATTTCGTTCTCGTTCCTTTAAACCCTTCCTTCCATCATTATCCTTTTTGCTCTCTTTCTTGATATAAGTAGAACAGTACTTTTAAAAGAGAATTCGACAAACAGCTTTTGTTAAATAAATTTATTATTTAATTCCAGCCGCTCAACTTTTAATTTCTAAACTTAATTAAAGTCCCAAACTACCGTATTTGACGGTATATAAGACACACTTTTTTTCTATAAATATCTTTTAAAATTCTCCTGCGTCTTATATGCCATATGTAGGTTTAAAATTAGCCATAGTCGGCCGAAATTAGCTACCTGGCAACTCCTATTAACTTAGACTTTAAAGTAAGTTCCATTTACCTATTGTCATTATTTTAAAGGCTATTATGCAGATTAAAAGTATTATTATTAATTATATTTATTATATTAATTTTATCACGTTTAATATTATTACTTTGTTTCACTAAAATTATATGTAATAGATTCAAATTATATATTTGTAAAATATATTTGTTTCATTAATATTTTTCTTGCGATAATTCCCGGTTGCATTTTTTGCATTGATATAAATACAATCAGAATTTTTATATCCTAATTATTCCAATAAGACGTTTACAAGACGCCAGTTGTACAGATCATATAAAGGATATAATAAAGTTTTTATAGGCTCGTGTTATTTTTTCCTAATATTTTTCGTTTAATTGTAATCATGTCTTGTTTAACCAAAATAATACGTCATAAATATAGCCTAGGCTGTACCATTTACTAATAATTTTACTAATTACTAATTTTTTCTTGATTTACCCTGCTGAAATTTAGGTGCATCTTATACACACGTGCGTCTTAGATGCCGTCAAATACGGTAAATGTTCAACCATCTTTTAACAGAAATATAAGAAGGGATACTGAAAATTTCATTCTCTCTCTCTCTCTCTCTCTCTCTCTCTCTTCTCTTTCTCTTTCTTAAAATATCTGACAATTGATTGTATTATAGAAATGGGTCGTTTCAACACACTCTTGTACATATACGAACACAAGCGTATATCTTTGTACACATATTATAAGTATATCTTTATTGAATTAATATATCCTACTTCCATTTTTTAATAAAAGGCACACAAGGATATATTGATAAATACTTTCTTTTACAAAATATTAAAGCGATATGCAATATTTTGAATTCTGTCTAATTCTTCAAATAAAGTGCGGGGTCCATTTTTACGATCAGTCTGTAAATCATTTCAGTATTGAAAATGTTGGATATTATCTGATTATGTTAATGTCTCATCGTTTCAAAAACTGTTTGTTCTTTAATGGATTTTGTCAGCATTGAGATAGAAATATATGATTGTAAGTATGGCGTTAAGTTTCGGCAGACAAAAAAGGCCAGCCGACATCTGGTATCACCAAGAGATGGAACGGGGCAAGAAAAAAATGAGGAAGGAAGGAAAAAAATGAAAGAAAATTATTTTTTACGTGTCAAGGATGTCACTAAGTTAAAAAGAAAACACGTCAAGTTTTTATTTTATTTATTCGACACATTAAATTCAGGGCAGAGAAAAAGAGTCGATGATTAGAAAAAACTTTGGAGTATTTTATAACATTGCATATTTTAATGTGTGTCAGCATGTTCATCTTATGTGGTAAGTTTATAAACTGAAGACTGAGAGTCTAATGCACTATTACCAGATAGGAGTTTATTAATGTTGACTCGGTAACGAATAATAATAGTTTTGTATGAGGTTGTAATTAATTTAATATTAAGATTATGATTTTTAATAGTAGATGCTACGTAGTTTGTAGATAATATAATATTTGTATGGAATTTGTTATTCTTATATTTGTTAAAACTATATTATAATTATTGTTGTCACTATTACTACCATTACTATTATTATATATTTTGCTATTGTAGATTTTGTATGCTTTTTTTCTAGCATTATGAAGTATTTTCAATATACAGAGTGAGGCAAAAGTCGCGCATCATATGGATTAATTAATGCAGTCAGTTATGTGCCATACGTGATACACGCTTGGGCGTTCATGTATCGACAGATACATGACTGACGAGACAAGATTTTTCCCGCAGTAAGCTATCATTTCTTTCTGTGGTAAACTGGTTGCAAACCAAGGCTAAAGAACCCAGTCTGTCCTGCTATTTAACTCATAGCTGGAGGAGAAGAGATGGATTCATGCTTTTTCCAAGGGAATTTGTACGTAAGTGAATAAACGAAGTCGAATGTAATGCGAAATCGGAGAGCCGATTTCGCATACAGAGCCGATATCCATTACACCACAACGCACATTTAATTAATTATTCATATTTTAAATATTTAATTTGTTTGGATAAGTCCAGCTGAGTGGCTACCGAGATTACTACACTTGGATTTTTTTC